CTTTACCTAAATTAATGGACAGCTTAATTTTTGACCAGCTTATTTTTCACTGCAAGGAACTTTTGATCAATAACCAGCATGGCTTCTTTCAAAAAAATCTACACTTGCAAATCTATTGTTATACGAACAAAATATATTAAATGTTTTAGAAGCTAAAGGGCAAGTTGACTCTGTTTACACAGATTTCGCTAAAGCGTTTGACAGGGTTAATCATGAAATATTGTTAACGAAACTAGAATCTTTGGTATACCATCTCAGCTGGTGAAATGGTTTACAAGTTTTTTTGACAGGCCACAGTCAGCAAGTTAAAATTGGTAGTAATAGATCAAGATTAATTAGGGTTTACTCAGGTGTACCACAGGACTCTCATTGTTCACCACTTTTATCTAATATATTTATTAACAATATAGTAGAATGTTTTAAACATTGTGAGTTCTTAATGTTCGTGGATGACCTAAAGTTGAATAGACCAATTTACTCATCTAACGATCAAGCCTTCATTCAGAATGATCTCGACAACTTAGTTAAATGATGCGACCTTAATAACATACAGTTGAATGTTGATAAATGTTGCTTTATAAGCTTTTTTAAAGGGAACAAAAAGTGCAACTCACAATATTACATTAATGATAAGCAGTGGCGTGTTGTGATATTTTAGGGAGGGGAAGCGATTGTATAAAAATACAGCAGGCCAGTAAGCACAGCGCCGCAGACGAAATTTTGTTGCGGCGCATTCATCATTTTGTCAAAATCTTGCTTTTTTCTTCAGTACTAAGGATATTCGAGATTGAGATTTTTGAAGTGTTACTATTACTTTATTACCTAGTTTAGTACTAGAAGCTATAAAAAAACTTACCATTGAAAAGCTTCCTTGATTTATTTAAATGTAAAAAAAAACATTTAACTGAATTTTTTTTTATTTGTCCAGCATTTTTCGCACAGTTGACACAGCAGTTGACATTTATTTATACTTAAGATCTATTCGCCTATCAAGCTGTTTTTCAATGGATATTAGGGCTAAAATAGAGAGTCTGTCTTCACTTGTTGAATTTCGTATAAAACTTTTAATGCGTTTTAAAGCTGAAAAACTTCGCTCAACTGACGCACTTGTGGCTGGGATGGTTAGTAGGTACTAATTCACACAACTTGACGACTTCACAAAGCGATTTATTTAAACCAGTTGTTATAAGAAAATTTAACACAATGATAGGCGTCTTTTTATCACTAATTTCAATTGTTTCATAAACAACACTTAACTGGGACTTTAATGCTGGAATATCGAAAAAATTTCCATAATTTAATTTTAGTGAATTAAAAGCTTCCGATGGAAATTTGGATGAATCGTAGTTACTAATATTAAAATTGCACAATTCAACAAATTTTAATTCGTTTAAGTTTTGAAATCGAGAGTTCATTTGTTGTAGAATATTATCAAAAATTTCGGCGTATAATCGACGATAGGAGGTCTCTCTGTCGCCGACATTATCAATTCTAATTCTCTTTCTTTCAGGTTCTAAGCCAATGTTTTGAGTCTTATTCCAAAAGTGTTCAAACTGATCTCGTTTTTTATTCATTTTATTTTTAAAATCATCAATTTGTTTAATGCAAAAGCCAATGTCATTTGACTTTGTCTGTAAAATGTCGAATAAAATGTCAGTAAAAGGGAAAATCTCTGCAAAAATCAAAGAAACACGGTATTGAAACACTGTTTGCACTAAACGTCCATTGTAGTTCCATCGCGTCGGAGCAACTTTTGGAAACCTTTGAACGTGAACGTCCAAAGCGCGAGTTCTTTTCAATGACTTTGAAAAGAAGGAAGCCAAACCACTAAGCGTCGAAAAGAAAACTTTGCAATCTTTAATATCATCCATGCTTCGCGATAAAACCAAATTAAGTCTATGTGCTATACAGTGAACGAAAATTGCATGTGTAAACTTTTCTTTCACTTTAGCTTGAAGGCCTCCTAAATGGCCAGCCATTACGGCAGCACCATCCTAGCTCTGGGCAACAAGGTTAGAACCACATTCTAAACTTGAAATAATGTCACAAACAATTTTAAACAATGCATCTGCAGTTCGTTCGCTAGTGACGTCCAAAAATCCTAAGAATCGCTCTTTAGGAATGCCATCCAATACATATCGCACAACAATGGATAATTGACTTAAGTTTGCTACATCTGTGGTTTCATCAAGCACAATTGATACGAAAGGTGCTTTTTTAATTTCACTTTTAATGTGATCCATCACAACGTCGGCATCGCATTTAATTAAATCATTTTGGATTCTGTTTAAGGTACATCGGAAAGTCGTCGAATCAATAAAATGATTTTTTAGGTTATCATCGTATTTTGCTAAAAAACTTAGAAGGTCCATGTAATTTCTTCCATTATCGGATCCACTTGCTTCATTGTGACACCTAAAACTTAGTTCATGCTCTCCCAGGAAACAAGTTACATCTATTAATCGTTGTAACACGTCCCTATTTTTTTACCCTTTCAAGGTAAATTTTGTTGCTTATTTTTAAATTATTGTCCAAACTATGTTCAATGCGATAGGTCCCGAATGTTTTTTCTTTAATTGTAGCACTTATATGAGATTTGCTATTTACATGTCGTTTTACACTTTTGTGAAAATTATTCGTCTGTAATACCGACTGAGTTCCAATGTGTTTTTTCGACTATATTAAAAAGTAGACAAGGCCAGCAAAACAATTTCTTCAAAGTTTTGCAGCCGGTTAACCATTCATACTTTTCATAGAACCCTACGTGAAAATGCCTGGTAAATTTCTTTGCTGATTTTTCTACTTTCGTCTCTAAATTGATAGGATCTTTTAGTCTATTAGAATTAATAATGTCCGTTTTCTCTTCAAAATTTCTACTTGAAAATCCTTTTTTCAATAAAGAGCACACAATACAGACACAATTTTCCACATTATTATTGTTCACAGGCACAGTGCATAGTTCCTCCATTTTACAAAAAGAAAAACAACTACGAAAAACAAACCGAAATCTACCTAAAATCTAAGATTTTCCTCACACGTCGATTCGCGGTGCGAATTGCAATATGCGTAAGGCGACGTAATAATCGCTGCCTCTCGACCGTATTTCACATGTCCAAACAGACTCAATATTTATTTTTAAATTTCACAGTGTAGGGAAGCGGTGTTTTCCCCGCTTCCATGGACCGCACGCCACTATCTCGGGTTAACTCAGTCAAAGATTTAGGAGATATTTTAGATGAACAATTAAGATTTATTGAACATATAAATTCAATCTCAATAAAATCATCCCAATGGTTAATATTGGTTAATATTGTGTAACTGTTCTGATTTCTCTCTAGAAGTCATAAAAAGAGTATCAATTGGAATATGCTTCTATAATTTGGTCGCCAGAATATCATATACACGGTCTAGCAGTGGAAATAATACAAAATAAATTTCTAAGATACTGTGCCTTCAAATTAAATATTCAGCTAAATAGGATTTTAAATGAAATGAATATGAGCCGACTTAAGTACAGGAGACATATCAGATTTGAATTTTATCTATAGATTATTAAATGGTCTAGTCATATGCCCGGAACTCTTATAAATTATTTCTTTCAATATTCCTAATAGAGTCCTTAGGCAATTAAATATATTCCATTTCAAAATACAAACTATGGCAAGCATTTACCTATTAAAAGAACATTGAGGGTAATAATTCAACTGAATCTTGAGGTTACAGGCATTTCTTTTAATAAATTTAAGGCAATCTGTACGAATACACTGTAGTAAAAATGAAATATTACAGACGGATTTACACTACTTAAAATGCATTTGTTAATCTAAAACTTATTTGACCTAATTTTAACTTTTTTCTCTTGTATTTTTTAATTTACAATAATTATCTGCATCATTTATATGTGTTTTGCTTTGTAATGGAGTTGATTTCGTTTAAATAAATAAATAAAAAATAAATTATATTCACCAATTTTTAAATTTAAGTTTGACTTAACAAACGCCGCTTATCTTTATTCAGACAAATTCAAACTAAATACTAATACGTCACGAAGAACTGTCATTCGTGAAATTCATGACTATCTACGATGCGGGCGTGGTATTCACAGCCATTGGCCAGTAGCTATTACATAATGAACATTTTGTATCTAGAGTTATAATGAAATAGGTATAAAATACATAAGAGGCAAGTGTTTCAGAATTTTATTTTAATCTCTAGAGCGAGAATGTTTTCTTTCTGTTATTATAAGTGGTTTCGGAAGAACTATATTCAGTAGTGGCCATGAAGAAATTATTTTTATTGTAGTTATTGCAGTGGTATCCTTTCATGTTTATTTATTGGTTTACTGTTTTACAGAACTGATTAATTTAGGACTATATTTTTATATCTAAAAATCACTTAAATGAAATAATATTCAAAAACTAAAGTTTAGTCCATAAAAAAACTTTGCTTAATTTTTTATATTATTACTAATGCCACAGTTTATTGATAAAGAATCAGTTAGCTCACTTGGACCAGTTGAATGTTCCAAAATAACATCCACTCCAGGAATACAAATTCAGGATGCGCAGAAGACTGCTGTTTGAATATAGGCGGTTGTCATGTATTGTATTGGTTATAATTTGATTCTGTATGCGCCAGGGATACAAATCCGAGTTACGCAGTGTATAAACTGGAACATTGAGATCAAAAATGCCGACGCAGAGTGAGCGAACTGATTCTTCAGCTATAAACTGTGCTAATGCATTGCATAGACAATGGAATGTGTCAAACTTTCATCTCCAATACTCCAATCAGGATAAAAAAAAACAGGTAAATGAAAAACTTTGTAGACATGACAAATGTGACATTTATTTTGCATAGTGTGTAACAAATATATTTTATATAAAATGATTACATCATTCATAACACACAGACCAAGCCATACAATGACAATTTTCATCAGTTATCAATACAATTAGGATACACTGAGATTTTTAATTAATATTTTTTCAATATTTCCACTACAAACACATTTTTTCTACACCACTCAGCAACTCAAGTAAAATTAAAAATACCGTTACCATTACTAAGCATTGTTAGACAAATTTCCAAAAAAAAAGATTAATGTTAGAAAGGATGATAATCCATCGCTTGTCTAAGTGTCATGCAGTCGACTTCATCAATTTTCAGTGTATTCGTTTCAGTATTGATATCTTCTTCTAACTGTATTTGCGTTTTCAAGAGATATCTAAGCGATGCATGAGCTTCAGCCAATCGCTGTTGTAAAAAGTTACAGTTTGCTCTCAAATCTGCGACTTCTTTTACTAGCGACAGTTCAACCAGATCTTTACAAAGTTCTGCGCCCTGCCTCTGTGCTCTGGTACCTAACCTAAAATAAAAAAAAAATCATAAAGAGTCGCAACTTTTTTTATGCTCAATAAACGCCTTAGACAGGGTTCAACGACAGTATGGTACAAGTTCGATACCTAGCCAACAACGCGTTGTAATGTTATATGTTGCCTCCTAATTTGTGTGTTTTTTTTTGTCAATAACAAGAAGCAATTAAAAATAAAAATCTACTGGACCATAGAGGCAACTGCAATGATTAACAAATAAGATATTATATATCTACGTCTTAAATGTAGAAGACGAAAAAATAAACAGAAATAAAAGAAGCGCTGGATGGAGCAAAAATGATTAAAAACAACAAATTGGATCTAAATGGGACAAATAAGCAGTGAAAGACCAAGAATAAGACGTAAAGAACAATCAAAATAATAATAGTCTTTTTTGTACCAGCAAAATTACACAGTATAAATGGCATAGTCTAGGCTTATAGCCATTCAATATTGTACAATGCATTCAATACCAATAGTATATCTTTAAAGATGACCTGTAGACTTCATGACACGTTCAAAAAAGAAAATATGAAGTCGGAAGAATGATAATTGGGGCGTCCACTAAAAAGCATCGTTGGAGGTTCTTAATTTGTAATAAGACAACCTCTAAATAGTATACAATAAAATTATTACAATTGCAAAAAATAAGTACCTTGTATGAGCCAATCCGGTATATCCTTCTTTTTCGCTCAAGGACTTCTTAAGTCTTGTTATGGTTTGTCCCATTTCATTGGCCAGTCGCATTACTTCAGAATGTTGCACCTCCATTTTGGTCTTGTTCTCCTTCAGTTCTTCAATTCTTTTTCTGAAGGCGTTATTAGTCGCATTATATTGTGTTAAGAGATCATGGACGCCTTGTCTTAGAAGGGTGTCGACGTATGTGCGCAGCTGAAATTAATAACGGCTTAAAATATCTCCGTTGTATATTTGATAGATTGGTAAATTTGTCTAGAAATCATTTGATGGGTAATCCCTGTATTCTTGTTTGGAACAGTAAATAATCCTTAACCTGTCGCAGGTCTTGGAATGAAATTATTAATAATCATCGACTCAACAATTACCTGTCGACAACTGGTCAGCTCTCTGGAGGCATTTTGAATATTATCCATACAAAATTTTTGCCATTCTTGAAGAGTAATGTTAGAAGGATCTAAGGGTGCAAAACCGTGGTAGATGCTTAGGTTCAAACTCGTATTAGTAATGCTTTTGTTGTAAAGGTCGATCTTCTTGGTTAAACCTTTATCATCAAGATCACGATCCATGAAGTAGAAGGTCGATCTGAGACGTCTCCTCTTAAATAATAAATATAATTAGTAATGTAATACTCTTGTACAATTTTATTGAAATGTCAGAGTATACGAAACTTTTCTTCCTGGGATACTCATTTATAGATACACACATCTCCAAAAGTCTTGGCCCCCAAGGTATTTTTAAAAATAATCAAATTGAATTTTGAAAATATAGCGAATCTTATTCTTTGTTTTAATACCAAACTATGTAATTTGTTTTTCGAATAATGCAGAATAAAGGAAATTACAAAAAAATGTCCAAAAATTGTAAGTAAATTTTTTTTATTTTTGATAAAATGTTATATCGTAATAAAAATATAACTTAATAGTCTGCATTATCGCCCCTCCTTTCAATCAATTGGCCAACGCGTCGTGGCATCCCGCGGATTCGGTTATCAATAAAATGATCATATTGTCCCACTCTTCTTGAACAGCTACAGTCAAGTCCTGGAGAAATAAAGGGGGGTTTTCTCGATTATATATTGCTCTACCAAGATAATCCCATACATGTTCAATGGGATTCATGTCTGGTGAGTTTGGCGACCAGTTAATTATTTGGATATTTCCTTCCTGCAGCATGTTTTGTACCCTTGGCTTGCGATGCGGTTTGGCATTTTCGTCTTGAAAAATTAAATTGTTTCAAAATTCGTTGCGCAGAGGCTGAATGATTGGTTGAATAGTGTTTTCAGCGTATATTATACCTGTCATAGTTCTCTCAATCAAAATATGTGGGGTGCGGTAAACAAACATTATACCTTCCAAAACATCACCGATCCGCCTTTGTAAAGTAAGTCGCCCCTGTCTGCCTGGACCCCTCCAGACCCTTTCCCGCCGGCTTTCACTCTGTAGGTCAAATCCTGACTCGTCCGTTGCGCCATTGTGGTAAAAGGCCAGTTCCTGTGCGCTTGAGCCCATTGGCGACGTGCAGCTCTGTGTGGGGTAAGAGAGCTTAACGGTCTTCTTGCCCTTAGATTTGAGGAATGCAATCTTTTTCTTATGGTACTACTCGATACTACCTTCCGGTACTTTTGCAAAAAATGACTTCGAAGGGCTGTTACCGTTATACTTCGGTTCTATCGGGTAAACTTTGCCATTTACTGGTCTTCCCTCTCTGTTACTCTGGGTCGACCAGTCACTGTCCTTCCTGGAAAAAGGCCAATATGCGCCTTACCGAAGTCCGTGAAATATTCAGATGACCCAAAATCTGGTGATTTGACAAATCCTCTTGATGTAAGGCCACTATTCTTGCCCGGAAAAACTGAGAAATCGGATGACCTGGCATTTTATGACAAATTTACTTGATACTTTATTACTCGATGCCAGCTTAGAACTGATTTCTTTTCAAATGGTGCATATTTTCAGACGAAAACAGTTTTTTTGCTTACAACCTGTTGGGTTTATGTATGATACGATAATGCAGAATGTATACCCAAAAAATAGTCACCTTACATTGACTGCGGTAAAAGTTACCAATGGGGGCCAAGACTTTTGGAGATGTGTGTATAATCGTATCTCGAGGTATAACTTACTTATAAGATACGGACAGTGTTTTACCGATCATAGGAAATACTATGTGATGTACCTATCCACCTTTACCAGGTCGTAGCCAAACACCCCCTCCCTCCCGAGTTGATTAAAAAGTATAATTAAATATACTGGAAATACAAATAATTGCATTCTCATAAAAAAATAAGTTTATTATGTAGTGTCTTAATTTTCAAATTCAAAACCCTTCTTATATATTTTCTAGCTACGCTACTGACCTTTTCATTGATTAAAAATTTTGTCACTTGTTTCAAGTTTAGTAAATGTAATTGATACAAAAATGACCAAGAGGATACCCTACATTCATGACCTCTATTGTTATTCTTACTCTTTGGTGGATGTATATAGTCCTAGAACCAACGGGCAGGTTTATGACTCATTTTCTTATGGCTGAATTTATTATTAAATTGTACTTATGATACTTGTCCAACAAATTCACCAAAGCGCGATGTTCAGACTGGGGCGCTTAGGTAGCTATAGGCATTATAACTGGTACGTGCCTCACAAAACTTGACTTATTTTCTTAAAATTTTCGTTATGCTCATTCGGCGATAAGTGCTCACCTACAAGAAATATTAAACCCTCCACCAATTTCGATGGGCCATGTTTTTCTCCAACCTTTTAAAGGAGTGCGTGATTGGCTTCTTATAGCTGAATTTATTATTAAAACGTAGTAAGATAATATGTGTCCAACGGTATCACGAAAGCGCGAGGTTCAGTCTGGCGTGCTTAGGTAGTTATAGACATTACAAGTGATACGGCCCTCTTGAAAACTACTTATTTTCTTAACATTTTCATTATGTCGTCGATAAGTGCTCACCTATAAGAAATATTAAACCCTCCACCAATTTCTCTGGGCCATTTTTTCTCTCCAACGTTTTAAAGTAGTACGTGATTTTGCTAGCCTGTCTAAAAAAACTAGATTTTTTAATTTCTCAATCAACAACCGGTGATTAACTCTGTCAAAAGCCTTGTAGAAGTCGGTATATATAGCATCAATCTGATACCCCTCTCCAAGGCATCTGACAGTTTACTATTGTATATAAGCAGATTGGTTACCGTAGAACGACTTCCCCTAAAGCCATGCTGCTCATCAATTATAATCTCTTTACACGCCAATTCAAATAGTTATACATTAATCAAAAACTTTTGGGATTGAAGACTGTATAGATACACTACAATAGTTTTTAATATCAATTCTTGACCCTGATTTAAATATAAGAAAAACAAAGCTTTCTTTCCAAACGGCTAGAACTACACCAGTTGCCAAAGATATGTTAAATAACTTACACAAAGGCTGACATAATGAATATCTAAACTATAAGGCTTTATTATAGACCATTGTATGAGAGATACGGAGAAATTTCCCTAAGATCGGTAAAAAAGTCTTGTAGTAGATCTATTACTGGTAAAATATTGTGTAAACCAACCTGTTCATATGCTTGTTCTAATGTTCTTGTCAACATTTGAATGACTCCCATGATGACACGCCTCTCTTTTTTCAGTTCCCTTTCAACATCGTCGATACAGAAATCTATACCGACCCTTCTTTCTCTTTGTATCAGACATTTGTTGCAAACTTTCAAGCAGGTGTCTTCCACGAATTGTAAACAATTTTTTATACGATCACTGTATACAGTGAGACTTTCCATTTCTTTACAAACCTAGAATTATTGTAAACATTGTTAATTGTTAATTGTTGCTTTTACGGCAACTAGATTAATGTGCAGTCATACAACAAAAATATAATAGTAATAAAAAAATAATGATTTTCATACTTCTTTTCGTGTTCTTTCTATCTCGGATACATTAAAATTAATATCGTTAATTTTTTCCTGGATAGCACGGTCGACTTCCTTTTTATTGTGTTCACTTCTTTCATTAATTTCTTCAATAACTCTGTCGCTTTCGGCTATTACGGAATCTGCTAATCTTTGCTGATCCAAGCATGTTCTGGTTCTGAAAGGTACGTTAGGATTTGCAATAAGGTTTACTATGAAATTTTGATATAATTCTGAAACTTAGGAGCCAAAAAAAGGCAATGACCGAGTTGCATTATTCTTCCCAAACAAACAAATTTCCTTTTATTAAAATAAACTTATTAAATACAAGGTGAAAATCCTGTTTTTTTTTGTATTTCAATTTTTTCTATTTTAAAAATTTTGCGATAAAGGTAACAGATGAAAAAAGCAGTCATACCTTAAGTTGTTGTTTAAATACCATTCTTCATACGTATATTTCGGTGGAGGTGGAGGTAAAATAAATATGCCTTCGTTAATGCTGGTAATAAATTTTGATGCTTCATGTCCGTGTTGTTGGGGCGGCATTTCAAAAGTGTAAAAATTATTTCTAGACAGCGAAAAGTTCTGTAAATATAAGAGAAATAATCTCGAACAGTTTGATCGATATTTTGAAGGGTTGTCAAGAGTGACTGACAATTTGGTAAACAGTGTGCAGGCACTGTTTCGGCATCACTGCAGGTGAGTTTTCCACGAAGCTAAAGAAAATGCCTCTAGATAAATTTATAATATTGTCAGAAATGAAGCGGAATAATTATAATTTCATTTAAATATAAAAGTTGCTCAAATTGGATTTACGTATTATTGGTATTGTTATAAAGGGAAAATCGAGAGCAATTCAAGTTTAAAATAAAATACAGTGTGATCCGTTAAAAAAATCTTCGAGCATATAATTACTGGAGACGGCATATCGTTACCTTATGTAAACATCCTTCCTCCATGATGTAAACCTTCTAACTCCATACATAATAATTTTACAGGAGAAGCAGAAAAACGTTTCATTTAGATATTAGAAGAAAAAAAAATGAATTAGATGATTAGGTTTTAATTAAGGCTGCGCTATCATGACGAGATATTAATGTATTACAAATTATAGAGTTTAACTGGATAATATATGAATAGCAGACCATTTTTTACTAAAGTTTCGGGTAAAACCTCGCGGCAATTGTACTGAACTATAATCTAGTGACTAAATGGCTATTTTCCAATATTTGCAAGGTGCAGGTCTACGTGTTTATTTACAACAATGATAGAGTGTAGTATACAAAAAAAATTGGAGAATTCATTGATATACAAGAATTTTTATATTACTTCTTCAATTTTGAATTACATTTAAATACATTACTGGATCTGCATGCCCGTAAGTATGTGTGAATAAAATTTTTATTTAACTTGTTACGCAAATCTTTTTAGCAATATAAATGGTATCATCATAAAGTTAATACCATACAGAATCATAAAATAGTTTGAAAACTTGGATAAAGTACACATTTTCTAAATTAACTTGCACGAAAGGAGAGTGTTTTTTACATGTCTTATTTTGCCGCCATTTGTCGGGAAACACAGCCTTTTAAAGGAAGCTTTTAATAAAGACCTAATCTAATTATTTTTTTCTTCTTCTAATATCTAAATTAAACAGTTTTTTGCTTCTCCTGTAAAATTATTACATATGGAGTTAGAAGGTTTACATGTTAAATGAGCATAGTTTCGGTTAGGGGTGAGGCAATAGACTATTACAACGCATCGGAATTTTTAATCCTAATTAGGTACTTAGAAACATTCAATAATGGCATTTATTTATACATGAAAGCATTAATTCAAACATTTAATTTCGAATTTAGAAGAAAATTGGGATTAAAAAACCATTATTGATGAATATTCTCGCGAAAAAGCACCCTTTAGAAGAACTACACATTGTTACAATTTTACCAAATGTTATACTATACCCACAAGGCTAATATTCTTAAAACAAGAGTGTAGGCTCTCACGGCCGGCGTCAATGTAATTGTTTCCGGGCTGTTATGCTGTGGTCTTTCTTGGTTATTACTACCAAACGTTTCTGCTGCAACTGCGGCAGCCATCTTCAGTGTCGTGGACGAAGTACTCTTCTCGACGCATCAACTGAAACTGAATCCTCCTTCGTTTTTTTTTTTTTTAGTTTATTAGTGACTTTTTCATGAGATTTATTTTACATTTTTCTACGACATTTTATTTTCCTAATACCCTGCTGTATGAGTTAGCCTCCTTTTCAGGGTGGTTTGCCCTGATTATAATAAGTAACCTATGTTTCCTAAGTGTTGACGTGTGCGCGTGTGGGACCTGTGAGGCAGGTTGTGTTCCCGAATAATATCACCAATTTTGCTATTTTCAACCTCATATATGGACAAGTCCATAGTATAAGGTGGGAAATATAATTTAGGGAAACCACGAAACCTAAATCACGATAATTTACAAAATGTTATAATATCTAATTACATGATTGGGAAGGGTTTTATCCAATGCATAGTGGGGCTGAGTCCAGGAGATCCCGGAGTTGAGCGGTGAGGGGGAGGTCTTGGGCGTCTGAAAGTAATCTTAGATTTGGTTGTGGCAGTTTTCTTTTCGGTTTTCGAAATAGTGGGAGGCGGCGAGGGCGCCAGAGGGTTTGTAGTGTGTGTTGGTGCCTCCATTTGCTACACCAGCGAGAATACTGGTTTAACAGATTTTGGGTTCGAGTACTTCGTCAGAATTTTTGGCTACAGAGAGCAGAGAAGTATCGTCAGCGTATAGAAATCATTTTGACGATGGGTGGTTTAGAGGTGGGATGTCGTGTGTGTATATGAGGTATGTGTGATTTCGAAGGATCGATGTTGTCTGTCGGGTTGAGGGGGTAGTTGTTGGAGTTTTGTTAGTAGTTGTTGGAGTTTTGGGGGTTGTAGTTGTTGTTTTTGAGGGGTGTTATTTTTGAGTTGTTGAAAAATGTTCTTGGGTTTAGTAATGGTTTTGTCTATTAATGATGGGATGGAGCTAGTTTAGCTCGAATTTGGGGAGGGGATTGATGCCATGGAGTTTGGGCATTGACCGTACTGCTTCGAGGAAGATGCAGCAGAACCGGCGTGTCACCACCATAGTGGGGTGACAATGGTTTGTGGATTGAGCTTGTTACTTTTGGTTAGTATTTTTGGAGTCCCTGATCCAACAAGTGTGTGGCAGTCTCACCACCTAAAGGCTATTAACCCCGACAATATGATGACTTGAGCCTAGTCGGATGACGTTTGTTAGATTATCTTACACTTTTTGGTCCTGTAGTCGTCTATTGTTGACACTTGCTGAAAGAAATGGGATTAGTTTGTTAAATATTTATCAAACGCAATCTACCATTCAAAGAATTCGCAATGCGAATAATAACTCCTGAAATAAATGAGTTAGTGTCGGATTTCGAAAATAAGGCTAATTAATTTCACTATTCACTTTTAGGATTCTTCTTCTTTGATAGATAATATTTTTCTAATTGAAATCTCTGAAAAGCAATTTCAAAAATACTAAATATTATTTTCACTGTCACTATTCAGAGGCTATTCCACGTAAGTGTGCTTTCGCAGTGACTTCCACTTGGCGTCTGCACCGCTTCGGCTATTCTCGTGCACTCGTCACACAAGTACCGTCTCGTACTGTTGCTGGATCTCGAATGATCCTCCTTCCTCCTTCGTTCCCGGGTGTGGTATTTATATGTGTGTCTGCGCGCTCTTTTTTGACGTGACTGGTACTAGGCGGTTTTATTTTTGCGCTTTTAATGATGTATGCAAGATCATAGGTAATGGTTTTTCTTCCTTTCTATTGAAGTTTGTGTAAATATCAAAATAACTTCAATAGAAAGAAAGTCCTATGATCTGGCACACATCATTGGACTAAAAAAAATTGACTGTTATAGTCTATGCTAGACGAATTCGGCTAGTCCGGTCGATTCACAGCAATTGTTCCGTTACTAACTTAACAGCACAAAGTTATTTATTATAAGAATACACTGATGTTTGTTGTGGAGTGAAAATAGTAGAAAGAATACGCTAAATTACAGTGAAAGCATTTTTTTGAGTTCGTTTTATTCGTTTTGTAACCAATTACATACCTTTAAACTACTTTTTATGACCTGCAAACAATGATTAATAAAGAAATAAAATAGTATATTACGTACCAATGGACTAAAGTGTCACTTTTAATCCCGAGAGTGAAGATTGTTACCCGATTGTTACCGCTCCAAAGAGGAGAAACAGTAAACCCTCATAAAACCACAAAAGACAGACATAACGAAAAGTACTAACAGCACTAAAGTCACCAGAACTGAAATGAGTGAAGATTCCATTTGCTCAAGAGGCCAAATACTTATCTTTGACAATAGGTTAACATGGAATCAATATTTGAAAAAATCACCCAAAAGAGCACAACATCCTTTAATTTATGTCGAAGTTGTGTGGAATAAATTGGGGACTACAACCGAAAATATCCCTATGGCTATATACCAGAGTCATAATGCCTATGATAAATTACGGGTCGGTGGTATGGTGACATAAGCTGGAGCTATTCGACAGCTCAACGTTATTCAAAGGCAAGCATGCCTGAGAACCACGGGAGCTATGAGAATGACTCCAACAGCAGCTAAACCTAACATATATCACCCATAAGTAGTTTGCATGGATGAGACTACAGCGAGCTATATAAAGAGTTGGAGAACGACCAAATAATGGGAATGCCTTCAGACGAAATGCTTCCAAAGTATACCTTTAAATAGCAAAATATAGTAAGTATAACAGACAGGGAAGCGTGGACTGGAGGACCTCCTCTTCACGCAGAATTCACCTTGTATACACACGGTTCCAAAACCTATGAAGATTCAGGAGTAGGTATATATTGTAATGGATTACCCAGAGTGGGGATGATCAAAGTTCTGACTAACGATAATACAAATCATGCGCTGTATACAATTTTTGTGTATCAGCAGTGTTTACCAAGTATAAAGTTGACAGAATGACAAATGACATGTCATCACGAGGAAACAAAGGCTTTTGTCTGATTTATCTCAAATTTCTGCTTCTTTTTATCTGATATAAATTTGAGACATAAATCCGTTTAAATCTCCTTAATTAAACCTATTTTTAAATAAAATTAACTAGTAAAAATATTAATTCAAATACGTTTAAAATTGAAATATCTTAAACAATATTCTAAGAACACAACTGGCCTCTTACACATTTCTTCAGTAACCAACATTTTGTTGACTACAGCATTATATCTTATTAGGATTAAAAAAAAAGCACTAATACTAATTATAAAACGAGTATAAATACCCTTTTTGAATATTTTGTCCAGTTTTATGCTTATTCATAATACTAATACAAATACTAATAATAAGGGAGTATAAATAGACCATTAATACCCTAAAATATTTTTTTAAATCTGTAGATTGTTAGTGGGTCGTAGAAAAAATATACTGTACAACTCGAGTGGTTTGTCAATATCCACTCTTTTTGCACAAACTACTATTAAAATTTTTCGCATTAATCAATCACGGTATAGTAGGTAAGTCTACTATTTTTTTTTTATTTTTTAGCAAAAATAAGGATATGACTTTAAAAGAGTTCAAATTCATCTGGCATATGGAATACGGACACAGGCAATGGGGAAGAGCCATAGGAGCGTTTTTTTTAATCCCAGCAGCTTATTTCTGGATCAGAGGTAGACTGACATCGCCAATGAAGAAAAAAATTTTATTGTTTGGATCTCTCATTGGAGCACAGGTATAATTTTGGTTTTTGATGTTTAAAAAGCCATATAATTATTGGAAAAATACAATACCAAGAAGTATTACGTCAGTAAAGTGGTCTATTTCAATTCGAGGAAATTAGACATAAATTTCTTTCATTTGCGTTTGTTCTATAACAAAAAATTGAACTTGGAATTATAGCAGTTAAACATAGTCATGTACGTAACTCGACCATAAACTGCAGTTCGTTCAATATAAATCAATATCTGTTTAAAATTAATTAACTATTTAAAGCAGTGGTTCTTAACCGGTGATCAAAGGACCATAGGTAAACCACTAGCCAAAGAAATATAGTTCTCTATTAAAAATGATCTTTTTTATATTATAACTAGAATAAAGATATATAATGCTTGGAATTCTAGACCCCCTTATCCTCCATCTTCAATAAAAAAATTCAGAAACAATACGCTTCATCCCCTTTTACTGAAGATTTCAATTTGATATCGTTTATTTATTTCTAAGTTAGGATTTTTTTTTTTCAACATTTCACCACATTTTTCATTAGATTTTGTTCAAAATCAAAGGGTTTCTTCCTCTTATAGAGCTTGATTTTTGCTAAAAATTTCAAGTTGATATCATTTTTCGTTTTTGAGTTAGGAATTTTTTTAATGTTTCAACCCCCCCTTAACCACCCATTTTTCAAAATCAATAGGCTTCGTCACCTTATAGAGATTGAATTTTCCTGAAGTTTTCAAATTAATATCGTGACATCGGACGGACGGACAGGCAGACAGACAGACGGACGGACGAAGCGAATGCATAATTCTCTTCACAGACTATTGTGTGAAGAGTATACTAACAGAGACACAGAGACGTATAACTTAATTAGGCATTCCAAACTGAATGGCTACCAGTGGGTTTTGACGGGTTATGATATGGCAAAATTATGGCAACCCTGTATGCCTGGTGATTTGACAAGGTCAATGAAATAGATAGTTACATAGATTGATTATCCATATTTTTCAAAATAAACATAAGCGTATGCCTTGAAGTAAAAATGTAAGCAATTATTTTTTTTAAAATATCTAAAGGCTAAAAATTTGTTTTAAAACACATTTTTGCTAAACCGATTCAAATTAATAAGTATTTGCCAGGCAATATGGCCGCTCGTAAACGACCAGCATTGAGCAATCTATATAACTATATATGTATTATTGACCCTGTTAATGACAACAGGGTTGCCATATCTAAACTGTCATTACCTACTGGTAGCCATTTGGACAGGTCGTTGGAATGCCTAATAGGAAAATTTGTTCGGTGGTCCATTTAAATTACATATATGACTTTCTTTCTCTTTTACATTGATCTTTACATATATTTATCTCTCTCCAATAAAACTAACACCAATTTAAGAGGCCGCTGATGTTGCTGGTTTTTTGACGTCGACGAATCGATTAGAACTGACAATGTTATGAATGTTGTTATGAACGTGTGCATTTTATTAAAATTAATTTAATTTGGGCCCCTTTTATTTCTTTGAGTCTGATTTTGTTGTTTAATTAATTTTCTTTGAGGGGGGAATGTTTATTTTCGCATATTATTTTTTGCATGAAGCATTTTCTGGAACCAAACTCGCGTTTTTGTACACCTTTCTTTCTAGAGGTAAGTAATTTCCAATTTATTAAGAAAACCACTGTATAATGTGTGTTTAATAATATATTATAAAATAGCTATAATTATTTTAGATGAATTGGAACAGAGATCCATTGTTACAGCTACTTTTGTTCATTAAGTAAGTAGATGAATGTCTCGACAGTTTAAATGGCAGCACAAAAAATTTCTGCACATGTAGCATTGGCAAAGGACTTTTGAAATTATTAGATATTGGCTATTTCTTACATACACCTACCTCTAAAAGCCACTCAGAAGATTGTAGAGTCATTTAAACGAAGAAAAAAAATTGAATCCCAAAAGGGCAGAATTTTAAATCAAGATGCATTGGATTTTAGATTTTAGAGAGATCAATCTCAAGAAAAGTTAATTTATCCTGCAGAACAACCAGTAGTTTAAGTAGAATTTGCTATAACTTTATTAGAAGATTTCCTTGATAATAAATTGTAATATACCAATTGTTTCAAATGAAATTGAAAAAGAGTTAAATTCGAAATTAGATTTTTCATGGGTAAAATGTTATATTCATTCAAACATTGTAAGGTAGGTAATCTATAATTAAGGGAATATGGAAAATAGGTATACCCTAGTGGTGTAAGAGACAGGTAAGGGGCAATGACAAAAAAATTACAAAAATGTATTCATCTTTAAATAGTGTTTATTAATATTTGCTATGTTTGAAAAGTACCTCCTGCTGCAGAACAGATCGAATAGATTAGACGACTAGTTGGAGAAGGTCCACCTAGTAACCAAATTAGGAGATTAGGAAAACTTTTACATGACTGGGGACACAACAGGAATGCACATGCACAAGATACACAAACAGATGACATAACAGGGGTAAGCCTTCAGCAACGTCCTGTTTAAATGATGATAGTATGTCATCCTCCATTCCCTTTTAGAAGGCATGGCATATAAATCTATTAATCTTGATGACCCTAAGAGGAGTTAGCAGGGGGGTGTACGGAATGGGTCTAGCAGGTTTCGATCCAGGACGGGACTTACTCGACTCGGGCCTTATATATTTGTGTGAGTGTATGTGTGTGTTTGTTTCGTTTCCATGGTTTCTATTAAAATAAACAGTCATAACATATCGATACCTTTTTGCCAGACTAACGTAAGCGACATTTGTTCAAATGGCACTTATGATGGTCTGGCAAAAAGGTATCGATATACTCTATACTTTATAAAATATTTGTTACATTAGTCTTTAAATATATTATGAATATATAACAACTGTTACTTTCTTTGTAAATTGTCACAAAATGATACGATGAGGTACTTTCTAAACGTAGCAATTGAAGTTTGTTTTTCTGTACCTTACAAAAATATAATTTATAGAAAAAGAGTTTGGTGTATTATTCTTCCAAGTTTAAATATTTAATAATCAATAGAATTTTCAAGTTTTTTTTTAGCGAAATTTACAAGAGTAATAAAAGCTATGTTCACTGCTTAAAACTTAAAACTTCCTTTATTAAAATAATTATTTATATGATAAAAAATTTGATGTTATTGGAAGCTTTTATATTTTTAGTATACAGTGAAACAATATTTTTTGTTTCTCCTGTAAATTTCTATAGAAAAACTATTTCTGAATCCATGTTTGAATTTCCCGCCCTAAAGCATTTTTAATTTTCCCGCTATTTACTAGTGGCGCCATCATAGACTGGTTGTGGTTACAATCGCCCAAACAACTTTTTACCGAGCAAAAAAAATACATTGAGTTACACGTCTCGCTGGGTTGTCTCTGATAATAAGTACTCTTAAACACGGTTTATTATTCTTCAACCTTGTGGTCCCTGCTAACATCAAAACAAAGTGATCCTTGGTCGAAAAAAAGTTGATACGAACGACTAAATAGTTAAAATTTCTTCATTATCTTTTAGGGCTTGATGGGTTGGTATATGGTAAAATCTGGTCTTGAAGACCGCTTTCATGAAGCGAGCGATGTACCAAGGGTATCTCAATACAGGTTGGCGTCGCATCTTACTTTAGCGTTTGTACTCTATGCAGCATTCTTAAGATCTGCTTTGGAAATTTTAACGCCGGCTCATAGTATAACTTCAGATAGTAAGAAAGTACTTTCACAATATAGGAAGTTTAGAATGCTGGCACATTCCGCAAAAGGGCTGATATTTATTACTGCCATTTCAGGTAAAGATTTATTATTGTTTTTACTTCAACAATCATATAAACAAAATAAGAATAAAATGAGATTTTATTTATATATTTTTGTTCTGATAGGTGTTTTCATCCTGTTTGATGAAGGAATAATAAATGAATAATTATAAAAGCTAAAATTTGTCATTCAAATTAATTTGATAAAATTTCTTTATTATTATGCATTTGACGCCAATTCCAAAAATAAAATTCCAATGCTTCTTCTTTCAATTACTTTAAGTATTAAAAGAAAAAGGATTATCAATTTTATAATAAACACATTGGACATACTCTTTAATAATTAATATATTGTTTCAAGTGTAGGTATGTATATAATTTCTGGTTCTCCATTTTTCTAGCTAAATAACCTTTATATATACTTTAATAACCTATTATTTAAATATTTTATATCATTAAAACTAATCTCTAAAACGATCAAATTCGGAATTTAAATGTAAAAGTGCATCGAATATCATGTTTTAAACCACTATAAACGTATTTAGTTTCATTAAGTATTGATTTATTCTTGGAAAGACAATTTTTCGTTGTAAGTTCGTTATCATAAACAAGCACATTTTTTATTTATGTACATCATTATCGAAATGTGGGAATTAAATTAAAGAATGCAACCATTACAGTTAAAAATTTAATGAATTCATGTTCTACAAAATTCAGAAATAGCTGTTTATGCGTTATAAGGCCGGAAAATTACTTATTAAAGTACGAGTTTAGATATACGAAGCGACGAAGAAGCCGAGTCTGAAATTTTTACATTTTTATTTTAATGACAATTCATAGCCGTTTATCATAGAAAACGTTTTATTTTATACTGTTTGTACCCTAATATTAAAATTACTGAAAATACAAGTTGTAAAGTTGACATCCACAAACAGTATTGCTAGTTTTTATAGTTATAATTATTATTTTATGCATACCAAATAAAATATCCCATCGTGGTTAAGCAAATTTGTATTTTTCCATTTTAGGTGCATTTGTAGCTGGTCTAGATGCCGGACTAGTTTACAACTCGTTTCCCAAAATGGCGGATAAATGGATACCAGATGATATATTAGCACTAAAACCAAAATTTTGTAATTTTACTGAAAATCCTACGACCGTACAGTTTGATCACAGAATTCTAGGCACAACTACGTTAAGTGTGATAACAATTTTATATATTTTATCGAAGAAACGAGTATTGCCACCAAAAGCCTACAAAGCAGCATCAGTATTAGCAGTTCTGGGGTACCTACAAGTAAATGCCAATTTTATTATTCGATATTATTTTGTTAAGTCTAAACGAATGTGAAAATGTGTTTGATATATGAAAAGAGGTTATTTTTTATATTCACTGATTCGTTATGATGTACCTCTTTTTGCAGTTTTAGCTTATGATTCCTGAAGTCTAGAAGTTCTCAGAATCTTGTAGAAGGTTTAACTCGAGAATAGAATTCACAAAATTGATTATTTTATTTTTGTAGATTGTGGTTTACAGTGTGCTTACAATATGTTTAAAACTGTCTTTGTCTCAGAAATAGCTATTTGTGTATTAAGAGCGAAAAGTGATACTTTGCCGCTTGAGACAAAAAGTTGTCGAAGAATTTGTCGAAAGCGGCAACGAACTTTTTGCTCAAAATTCACACAAGTTTTTTCTACGATCACATTATTTTAAGAAATGAGATATAAAACTGAAAATTTGTCATAAGTAGTGTATAATGATAATGTGTTGCCTATATCTACGTTATTCATGAAAAAAGGAGTTGATATTCAAAGTCAATGTTAACTTAGATAATAAAAGAAAAAACATTAAACTAGGTACAAATAACTTCAAAATCATTTATTAAAAAGAAATATTAAATTAGGCGTGCGACAAAGCTGTCAAGTTTTCCGCTTGGCGATCGACAAAGCTGTCACTTAATGTCAGTTCGCGGAAAACGTCAACTTTGCTGGTTGAATTTCGAAGCGCAAAAGTCTACTTTCGATAGTGATCGTAGAAAATGTATTTGTCCACGACTGTTCTATAAAACATTCATTATACTTGTACTTCCTTAAGAATAATAACACATATTATTCACTAGTGAATTTTGATCCATTATTCACGGTATGACGTCACGACAGCACGTATGTCTAAACTGGTAGATGGGCGATACTTTTCATAACGATATTTTCTAGATCGAAAAATTAGAAATTAGAAAAATTGAAAAATCGAAAAATCAAAAAATCGAAAAATGGAAACATTGAAAAACCGTAACATCCAAAAATCGAAAAATTGAAAAGTCGAAAAAACAACAGTTAGTTACCTATGTTTAATAAAAACTTTCCTTTCTACACTTAACTTTTATTTAATAAAGAAACCATAATGGTCGTGGACAAAGTATAGTATTAGACTCGCAATTTATGGCCATTATTTGCTCGTTTAATAATATACTATTATACACTACGGCAAACTCTTAACTAATGCCGAAGTGAGCTAGTTGAAAGATAATGGAATAAATTTTACAAAAGATTTCTCAAAGATTCTTTCTGGTAAAGGCGGTGACGCGACTCTTTAGAGGATCGGATAAATGATGAATGTTACGTGGCGTGATATCGGATGATGTAACTGTTTGAACACCTGTGTGAAACTTAGCGTCACGATGCTTCTGCTCATAATTGGTTACAAATAATATTTTGTTACTAAGGGCTCGCGCCTGTACAGAAGCATTTTCAGTTTTTATTTGTGGTTAAAAATATGTATGTTTTTAATAGTGTATTTCTCCAAATGGTTTGTAAATGAAAACACAATTATTTTCGTAAAATCAGAGTCTGCTAAATATGTGTGTCCCATTAGTGCCGTAATTGTTCAATATTTCAATTTGTGTTGTAGACACGTAAAAAAGTTTCAAATAAATGATGGATTTGAAAAATACATATTTAAAAAATATTTTTAAATATACACAGTATTAGGTTTTTTCCTTGATAATAAAAATGTATATTTTTTAAATAGAACACCTTCCAATTTTTTGAATAATTTGGTAATACTGTATTTAACCATAGAATGTTTTTAAAAAATATTACAGGGTTGTCGAGCAATTAATTTTTTTATGAAATTAGAGAATTATGCAGACCCAAAATTAAATTATCATAATTTAGGTAGGTTAACAATGATTTCAATAGAGGACTTCTATGAAGGGTGTTTCCGAACTTGGCGTCCAAATTTGTAGGGGTGGTAGTTCGCATAATTTGAGACCGATTCGCAGATTTCATTTTTCCAAAATATTTAAAATAAAAATAATTAAAAATTAATTAAAAATGTTAAACAGGTACGGTCCTGCACAGCGCCGGGATAGCCTCGACTCGCGCGCGCTACGCTTAGAATCGACAAAATTGCAAATCTCATCTGTTTTTGAGTTGTAAATCCCGATGAGTAACCGATCAAGCGACTATTGCGCTACGCGCTCAGGGTAGGACCCGCTCTTTGATTTTTTTATAATGGCTCTATTTTGTTTATTATAATTTTTTTAGAAAAATGAAATCTGCCAATCGCTCTCAAATTATGCGAACTGCCACCCCTACAAATTTGGACGCCAAGTTCGGAAACACCCTGTATAAGGGAAGTGCAACCAACTTGACAAATTTTTTTTGGACACTAATGACATAATAAATCGGGTCACATAAAGAGGCTGTTTGTTTTGTTAAATTTTTTGTTTTTCTTATCTACTTTCATGCCGTTTAGATACCATGTTGTACCCGTAACGTAAAGAAGACTTTTTATTTTAGGGTATTTTACATTTAAAGGTTGAAAACATTTGTCAATATCAGCTGTCGATAATGTCAAAACATAAGCGAAGCATTGCATTTTATTTTTTAGTTCTATACAATATACAACCAACATACAATACTAGTTACGTTATGCCCATCTATAGTTACGCCTGTGTTCTACCAACAACATAATTAACAGCTGACAATGACAAAATTTTTCAACCTTTAAATGCAAAATATCCTAAAACTAAAAAGTCTTTTTCACGTTACGGGTACAACAAGGTATGCAAATGGCATGAAAGTAGATAGGAAAAACCAAAAAGCAAACTAAAAAAACAGCCTCTTTATGTGACCCGATTTTTTATATGTCATTAGTGTCAATTTTATTTTGTCAAGTTGGTTGCACTTCCCTTGTATAAAGTCCTCTATTGATTAAATTACAGACTTATAAATTATAAGATACTAAGCTAACAAATAGTGGTGATAGAACTGGTTTATTTTATACAAAGTGTTTTGAAACATGTGTTAAGTATGGCTAATTTTAAGTTCAATTTACTCAATTTTTCAAATGTATATTATTTTAGCATAAAATTCCTTATAAATTTACTTATCCATCGATACCAACATGCTAGCCAATAACACATATACAGGCTGTCCCATCAGTGCATAATTGATCGATAGTTGTTTTATTATTGGAAATACGAAAAAACAAAAAATAATATTAAAGATAGATGACCATATTTAACAATTATTTTTAAATATACAGGGTTATTCATAAACGAGGGGCTGACCAAACTTGCAAGTGGCTAAAGGGTTGAAATAAGGGCGTAATCTTGTAAGGGAAAATCGAGATTTTAACCGATTTTTCCACACAAGCCCATCGAAAGTATGAAAAAGTACATCATCACTAGTCCGGAAAATGTCTGCTTGACTGACCCGAATGGAATAAGTGCATTTTGGGGTCGGAAAATATTTCTGTTAAGGAAAATAGATTTTTCCATGTGTTACCCAAGAGCCACTCGTAAATTTCCTTTCATTCTACTCGCCATCTATGTAGTTTTTAACTCTCTTTGAGGCTTGTATGCGAAAATGGGGCACCTAATTCTGTTAGTACCTGACTGACGGTCTAATAAGTATTATAATATTTGTGTGATAGAGATGAATGACTCAAATATTGATGGATTTAAATAAAATAAAGTATGGCATACCTACATTAATGTTTAATTTCAATTTACCACATTTTGAACAAAAAGTTATATAGGGTATTCTAATAAGAGTTTCCGGATATTTTTATTTGCTACTTTTTTGTCACAAACTTTTTATATGGTATTCTTTTTTTGTTGCATTCTGCAAACCAGTACAAGTTTAGCAATGGAGCGGTACACAGTAGAACAAAGAGTTTACATTATTAAAACGTACTTTGAAAATCGGTCTTCTGTGATAGCTACATATCGCCGAAAACGTGATTATTTTGGCATACAAAATCGACCATCAGAAAGAACCATTCGTAATATAGTGCGTAAATTCGAAACTACAGGTTCTGTGCAAGATATTAAAACAAAACAGCGTGAACGTCCAGCTCGCTCGGTTGATAATATTGAAGCTGTTCGTCAAAGTGTGGCTGACAATCCCCAAATGTCTATTACAAGGCATTCGCAGCAAGTGGGCATCAGCAAAACCTCAACATGGCGAATTTTGAAAAAGGATTTGGCTCTCCACCCTTACAAGATTCAGCTAACACAGGAGTTAAAGTCAGCAGACCATGGCAAACGCCGTGATTTTGCTAACTGGATCCTACAGAGGGAGGCAGATGATGATTATTTTTACAACAAAATCATCTTAAGCGACGAGGCCCATTTTCATTACGTAAATAAGCAAAACTGTCGCATCTGGGGCAATGAAAATCCTAGACAAATCCATGAAAAGCCAATGCATGCTCAACGTGTAACGGTTTGGTGTGGTTTTTGGCTGGAGGTATCATTGGACCTTTCTTTTTTGAAAATGAAAACGAACAAGCTGTTACGGTAAAAGGGGAGCGATATCGACTTTAACAATATGTGGTTTCAACAGGATGGTGCGACATGTCGTACGGCAAGAGAAACGATGGATTTATTGCGTACAAGATTCGATGGGAGGATTCTCTCAAGAAATGAGGACGTAAATTGGCCACCTAGATTATGCGACTTGACGCCGCTGGATTATTTTTTGTGGGGTTATGTAAAAAGCAAAGCTTACGAAAACAATCCCCAAACAGTTCAGCAGTTGAAAGAGGAAATTCGACGCATAATTCGTAAGATAACAGCACAAATGTGCTCAGATGTTATGGACAATTTCAACAAAAGATTTATACTTCATATTGCAATAAAAAATTGTCATTTATGTTGTAAACGTTTTCTTTTATTTATTATCAACATCCGGAAACTCTTGTTGGAACACCTGTTATATACATGTGAGTAATGAAAAATGGGATTGTCATTAAAAAAATATCGATGACATTCTTTCTACACGAATCATCCTGTTTATATTAATTTCATTTGAAAGAATGTCCAAATAAAAAAAATACTTTTTTCCAAAAGTTATTCCTTGAATTTTTAACGAATTTATCCAATTCTAGATGAAAGCACTGTATACAAACCCTATGTATGACATATTTTTGAATTCAGCTTTCCATGGTGATTCCAAAAATGGAAAAGATACCCCTTAAAAAATAATTGTTGCTGATGTCAATACTCAAAATGTGTCAAATTGAAATTAAAAATCGACCTGTTTTAGAAATTTACTTAAAAATTAATATTTTAGCTAAAAATTTATTTATTCCATACTTTACAAATACACTGTATATTGTAATTTTTTCTAGGTTGCATTGGGCATAACCACCTTATTAACATATGTACCAGTCAGTATAGCTGCTTCCCACCAAACTGGCTCACTTGCCGTTCTGTCAGCCGCGATATGGTTGACGCACGAATTAAAAAGGTTGCCTAAATAATTTGTGCAGATTGTACTGTTATTTAATTAAATATTTTTATTAATTACGATTTTTATGTTTTGTAAATAACTTTAAAAATTATATATTTAAAATCAAATGCCAGTGTTTTTATTGCATTACCTTTCTTACTTTATTTTTGATATCTCCATTTCCATCTTGCAATACTAGCCATAATACCCATATCGTCTGGTCGTTTGTGTATGCGTCCACACGCTAACTCTAGACCGAAAGCACCGATCTACTTACGATTTTGCTTTTATTTTATTTCTTCCAGCTGAGAACCCTATTAATTTTCAAGGGCAATACCGCAAGAGATGCGAATTTTTTGAAAACATTTTGATGTTTCTTTAGAAATATGGATAATTTGTAAGAAAACAACAAAATTTTCACAAAAAAATCTCACCTGCATGGTATTTAGAAAAATTGTTTAACGATGTAAATATCACTTTTATAAACATAAGATGAAGTCGAAAGTGATGTCGATTCTTTATTTACAATGTATATTTGAACAACTAAAACGATTTTTGTCCATGTTTAATCACCGTTTGGACAAACTTCGCATTGACGTTTCGTAGAAATCATTGATATGTTACACTGGTAATAAATTATTTTTTTTAAATCCAATCTGAATTGAGCAGTGAAAACAGTGCTCCATGCAGTATTTTCAAATATTGTTTGTTTTAAATGGCGTGCGGTGTAAAAAAAGGATTTTCATTGGTTGATGTATTATAGTATTTTTTTAATTTGTTAATTTGGTGTCGTCGGCATCGACTACTAAGGCCATTAGCCTCGTGTTCTGTGTAGGCTTTGTTACTGTTTCCCAGTGCCACTTTAGGAGCAGCACTGTTAATTAGAACCCAACAGTGAATGGTCGAGTCTGGAATCCTACCAAAAAAATGTTTATTTTTAGTGCTTTAAAAAATATAAATGGTGTTAAAATGCAACTAATTTCTGATGGAGCTCATGCTTATTTTATGTAATATGAAGAACTTCTGCTTGGTTTAGACTATGTTTAGCTTCCTGAAAAATCAACATCGATACTTCTCGTCGTCTTTCGGTCAAATTCAAATCGTTTCTTTTATGCTACGAGTTTGTCCGTGTAATCTCAGTCCAGATAAGGTGGGAAACACCAATTTAGTACCCTTCGAATTCAAACTGAATACTTGTTCAAATAAAAAAAAAACTGAAGAGGCAAACTACAGACGAGCGGGCTATAGGGAGCTACCATTTTGGACTAGTAGCACAGAGCCTAAAATTTTAACTACAATATTTTCCTAATTATTTAACATTAAGATAAATACATACCACGCCGTAATGTTTAAATTAACGCTGTATCTATATTTCTCAAGTGATTAAAAATACATTTTGGACACACGTTTCACATAAAATACTAGTACTGTTATATTTGGAATTTGACTTTTACGCCGAATTTCCGAGATAAAAATAAAGTCAAAAAATAAGTCCACTAGAAATGGTGGAAAAATATATAACAACAAATAAAATAAAAATAGGTTTAAATAAATAAAATAAAAATCAGTTTAAATAAATAAAAAAAAATAAAAATCAGTTTAAATAAATAAAATACATAATTATTTAAATAGGCAAGTAATATACAAAATAAAATAAAAATTGTCAATATTTAGTTACTACTCTTAATATTATGAAGCGTTTTTAATGTTTATACCTTTTAAAGTTTTCTACCGTTGGTGTAATACCGAATATCGATCATACCATTTATTTTGACTTCAGATCATTTAAAATAAATTTAAAAGATTAAACTTTCTTGAGCCTTGTCATCTTTTGATTTACTCTGTATAATTGTTGACGTTATGAGTGATATTTTCTGCTTTTCATTCAACGTTATGAGAAGATGAATCTAAGGTTTTCAAGCACCTACATAACGCTTTAAACAATCCAATGCGGATCCTAAGTATTGTCACAAATGCCAGCAATTAACTTTCGTATCGATAGTTTTTTGTTTGTGTCTTTGTACTACAATTGAATGTCATAGTCACATGATTAAATAGAATAACCAATGCGACAAGAATAAAGAGACAAATTCAATAATAATAATTTGGGCAATTACCCCCCAAGAATGTTTAAGCCTAACTTTTTATAGGTACTAAATATGTATTGTTATCAGAAATAAAGTCTTAATATTATCCTACCCCCCCCCCCCCACCAAAACTCTGGATGCGCTACTAGTCGCCGCGCCAAAGAGATGCAGTGATGCCTAAAATAAGTACCCGATTGCCGACTGAAAATCGTCAACAACAGATGAAAGGAGCCAACGTCTATAGTCTATTTTTATGTATGAGAGAGTAATAAAACAGCATTTCTAATGCTAAATATTTTTACAGAATAATCTAAATATTTCCAAAAAATGTAATAAATGTACCTGAGCTATTACAAGTTTTGCGTCTTTTATTGGTCCTTTATAAACATAAGCTGTACAGAACAATAGAAAAAGGTTTGGACAGGCCAAAAGCCCTGTGTATTAAAGATTACATAGCCGTATCTTAAGATTATTTTCAATAAGTACCTATTTGCCAATTTTGTTTTATTTTAATTCCAAGAATTTCTTACAGTAATCGAATTATAAATACCTTCCCAACAAATTTCACCGAAAATGCGATTATAGGTTTTCCATTTAGTAAGGAGGTCCAAGTTATGTATTCTTGACAGTTTACTAAATGTCGTTTAGTTGCAACTTGCAAGGTGCAGTGTGAATTCTAGTATGATCATGGAAAATTTGGAAGGGCCGCGTAAACGACAAAAAATCGGTCCTTTAACAGTTAATAAAAAAACATTAATATTTAATTGTTTTAAATCATTTACAGACAAACATTTATGTAAAAGTGTTGATGACACAGTGGAATTAGTTAGTAGTACGCTTGGTGTTGGGAAATCTACGATTTACAGAGTTGTTATAGAAGAGAAATGTGGCGAGTTTCAAACAGCACGTAAAGCTCCAGGAAAACCAAAATTTAAATTAGAAAATCTTTTGAAAGAAAGCCTTCGAAAAGGAAAGTGCATGCGTTATTCTTTAGAAAAGAATTTCCGACAGTAGACAAAGTTCTTGCCACGGTTCGAGATGATAAGGATTACCCTGAAATGGAAACTTTTAAAAGAAATAGGTTTTCTATGGAAAAAGCATTCCAGAAAGTCTATTTTAATAGAAAGAAGCGATATTGTAGTATGGAGAAGAAATTACCTAAGGACTATAAAAGAAATGAGAAACCAAAGAAGAAATATATTTTATTTAGATTAAACATGGATCAACGAGGGACATAAACCAAATAAATGTTGGCAAGATGAAACTGTTACAAGTCGAAGACAGGCTTTTTTAAATAATTTATCTACTGGTTTAAATCCACCATCAGGAAAGGGGCGCAGACTAATAATAGTACACATCGGTAGTTCAAACGGTTTTGTTAAAGGTGGTTTATTGACTTTTGAATCTACTCGTACCGGTGACTACCATGAGGGCATGAATGCTGATGTCTTTAAAGAGTGGTTCGAACAAATTATAGATCTTCCTCAGAACTGTATAATAGTAATGGATAATGCAAGTTATCACTCGAGACTTATAGAAAAAATGCCCACAACCAAGTGGTTAAAAAAAGATTTACAGAATTGGCTAAATTCAAAGAATATTAAGTTCCATCCCGGTTCTGTGAGAAAAGAACTGTATCATTTCTGTTCCCTTCATAAAGAGAAATTCAAAAAATGTGAAATTGATGAAATTGCAAAAAATCGTGGGATGACGGTGGTTAGATTACCACCATATTGCGAAGTAAACCCGATTGAACTGATATGGGCACAGATAAAGGGAGAAGTTTCAAGAAAAAATAATTCTTTTAAAATGAGTGATATTAAACAGTTGTTTTTGGAGGCTGTAAATAATGTGATACGATTAAAGAAGAAGAGAAAATGTGGAAGTTGGACAATATTACTGATGAAATGATCGAGCCACTCATTGTAAATATTGGTTGCGACAGTTAATCTTCTGATTTCGATTCTGATTTGTAGGTAAGAAGTAGTTTTTATTTTAAAATTATTATTTATGAACGTAACGTTGTTTAAAAGTCAAAGTTTAAACCCTTATACCTACATAACCCGTTTGACACAATGTTCTTAACATACCTTGTGGAAAAATAAAACATTTTAGAAAAAATTGCACTTTTTTACTTTCAGCTGTTTAGAAGTTATAAGCAGGTTAATTAGGTGAAAATATAAGTGTATACTCCAGGAATAACTTCAAAAAATATTCTAACTGTCTACTAAAAGAAGTGATACGCCTATGGATTACGAACGCTTTATTATTTTAATACTCTCTCATACATAAACATAGACTATAGGCGAGTGTTTTAGTTTATCAGTTCAAAGCCGAGGGGGGAAACCACTAAGGTCAAAATGTACCCGTATTTCGGAAATGACCTAAAAAAAATTATGTGAAAGTAGCCACATTTGCCGAGGACGCAGCCATACTTGCCATAGGTAAAATCATAGAAGTGGACGAGTGGACAAAAAGATGACGTTAAGTTCAACAAAACTAAAACAGTTCAAGTTAAGATCTGTAGAATACCTACCAGTGATATTAAATAAATACTAGAATACCATATTTTAATTCGTCGAAATATTTAGGCATGAACCTAGATATAAAATTAAAGTGAAAAGAACACAAAGAAACGGAAGAGTCGGGTATTAAATATAGAAAATTATACTGGTTGATGAATAGATTATTAAAACTTTCAATCGAAAATAAACTTTTAATATATAAACAAGTAGTAAAGCCAGTATGGACTTACGCCATACAGGCTCAGGGGGTGTTCTATAAAACTAACATACATATAATACGTTTCCAGAACAAAATATTAAAGGCAATGGTAAACGCCCCTTGGTATGTTAGGAACTCAGATCTTCACAGACATCTGAGAATGCCTACAGTAGAAGAGAGGAAAATTATCGCAAAAAAAAAAACATGAAAAAGACTGCAT